CTTATAAAATCTTTAAGTTTTTTTCTTTTCCTTTTAGGATGAGATTTTTCTGAACCGTGCATGAATATAAGTTTGAACATTTTTCTTTGCGAATCACACTAAATAATTGTTACAAAATGACAAAATATCAATTCTAAGATATTTCTGTGTAAAACATAGTTGAAAAAGTAACAATTATTGTTTTCACTTAAATGTGATACGCAGTTGTACTCTCGACACCAGAAAGGTGCTCACCAGTCCAAATAAAGTTAAATGCACAAATAATGCATTGGGTAAACTACAAACATAGCTTATTATGTTACTGTGTGAGAGCCTAGTAATGGAACCTACACATTAAGCAAACTTTTTTTTTTCTGTTCAAACATAAAGCTGTACTTGGTTTGACTTTAATATAGCTGAGACAATAATATATTCCAGTTTTTGTATGTAATATGGAAAGACAGCCAAAGAAGTTACTAGCTGGAGTAGCATTAGGTTGTTTGTTTGTAGTTAAGCACAAAGCTACACAATGGGCTATCTGTGCTCTGTCATCCACGGGTATCGAAATCCGGTTTCTAGCAGTGTAAGTCCGCAGACATACTGCTGTGCCACTGGGGGTCAAGTAGCATTAGGAGCAGTGTAAGAAGGATAATTTGTGCTGTTCCGACCAAGAGTATCAAAGCCCAATGTTTTCCACTATAAGCCTTTAGACTTCCCACTAATCCACCAGAGAGGGAGAGCCTTATTTATTGTTGTGAATTTAACGCAAAACTACTCGAGGGCTATCTGCACTAGTCGTCCCTAATTTAGTAGTGATAAACTGAGAGTCATCACCACCCACTGCATACTCTTGGGCTACTCTTTTACCAGCGAATAGTGGGAACAACCCTCATATCATAATGTCCCCGTGACTGAAAGGGCAAGAAGATTCGGGGATGGGAGTTTGAACCCACGACCCACAGATTGCAAGTCGAGTGCCCTAACCACCAGGCCATAAAAAAAAAAAAGATGAACATTAATTCACATCAAATGGAAATATTTTTCATGTTATGAAAATAATTCATGGCAATAAAACACGCAAACTTTATTTATTAACAAAGAAATTGGCTTAAGTAAAATAGTTTTGATCATTAATATGTTGAAAGTTTTAGAATTTCCTAACCTAGGTGACACCACGATAGCTTACATAGCCCTACTCTATCAAGTGGTTAGATAGAGCAGTAAATTTGTCCACTGTATAATGTAACCATAACATATTTTGCCCACTTCTAACTGTATTGGTGCTTAAGTACATGTTACTGACAATCAACAACAAACATACACATGAACAAATCATCAGTAAAGCTTTTATTGGCACAAGAACAGTAGAAATGCTATGAAAATAGATATATGAAGGTTCGATACAATATGTAAATGCTTTGTGAAACAATCAAGTACACATCTAACTTGTGATTTATTTCAAAATGACTGATGTAACATAATTTTCACTTGGCATGGTGAAAGACAAACACAGCAATGATAAAATATACCACAACAATACTTTAATTTATCCATGGCAGATGTTTTATCTCTTTGATCAAAGCATTTCGTGCATAAAACACGAAGAGTGGAAGTTAAGGTTTCTCACTGTGATGAAATGTACAAACAATGTACAGAAATATAAGAAAATGAAAGAATTTGTGCATGACTTATTTCAACTTCTTATGTTATATTTTAATGGTTCATGTGGAACTAGAGATTAGCGATACATATCAGAGACATAATGAGTCAGAAATTGCAGATGATTTGTGGTGTTACTGACTAGTAGCACCTGACATAGGAGCATTATTTACCATCATACGGAGTGATGAGTACGTTATATTAAAACGATTTTGAATATTCAACTCAGTATAAATCACCTGACAACAACAGTTGATATACAGTCATAATGGAATGTATCAGAACAACATTTTGACACTGTTTGGTGTTTAGTAGCTAGTGTGATGAAAATTAATAGTTTTTTGGAAGGGCAAGAAACAACTCTTTCCAATGCAAAATACTCATGTAGTCATATATAATACAGACATTTTCAGATCGGAGACATAGAATTTTCAATATGGGATATCCTCTCTACTTAATGGCATTGGAAAACAATGGAATATGGATAAATTTAGGGCAACATGTCCATCCAGAAAGATACCTGGAAAAATTCATACCCAAACCAAGATAAATAAAGTGTGGTGTCTTGTAACAGGTGAGAATCCATGAATAAAAAGGTCAGTGTCAAAAGCAGCCCAGGCCTGAGGCAACGGTACACAACATAATCAAGAAGGATCTCCATTTGGAAAAGTGCTACAAGTTGTGTATATAGAAGTTGCTTACACAAAATAACTGTTCAATCATCACATACCTCAAGCAGCTGGAGAATGAAACAAGTATTCATGGTATTCCTCATGGAGACATACCAATCAAGTTGTCAAGTGCAGCATCTATGGATTTCTGTACAACTGGACTGTTAAAAATGCCATCCTTGTATGCTACATGGCAAAAGCAAGTAGGGTGGAATATATGCTCTATGTTTGATGGCCATAACTCCTTGACACTCATCACATTGTTATAGTCCACTTTGCTATGCCTGATCATGCTATGTTTGATGGCCATACTTCTTGACATTCATCACATTGTTACAGTCCACTTTGCTATGCCTGATCATCACATTGTTACAGTCCACTTTGCTATGCCTGATCATCACATTGTTACAGTCCATTTTGCTATGTTTGATCATGCTATGTTTGATGACCATACTCCTTGACAATCATCACATTGTTACAGTCCATTTTGCTATGTCTGATCATGCTATGTTTGATGACCATACTCCTTGACATTCATCACATTGTTACAGTCCACTTTGCTATGTTTGATGACCATACTCCTTGACACTCATCACATTGTTACAGTCCATTTTGCTATGTCTGATCATGCTATGTTGATGACCATACCCCTTGACAATAGTCTTGCCATAAGCTTGGTCAGAATGAGGGAAATTACCAGGGCTTCTGCACATATAGGAAAGGAGTATTCCACTTTATGGTATTTTATTTGAAGCTAATAATTCTGAGTAAGTGTACAACTGTAACTGTAGTTCATCTTTATAGCTCACTATCAAAGTAAAATCTAGAATCTGATAGAATCCAGCCTCCTGACTTGCTAATGTCACAAATGATCAGTGATGACTGTTCTCTATTTGTGCTTGAAAAGTCAAAGTTGTTTTATACTAACCCTATCATTTGCAACCTGAATCTTGAACTATGTGCCACATAGAAAGCAAGACTTAAACATGGAAGGCTAAAAACTCAAGTTTTACTGAAAGAAGTGACTATGACATCTTGTGCTATTGAACTGGCAATTAAAGAAAGACACAATCACCTTACAGGTAAGTGTACCCTCACAAGCACCAAATATTATTTTACAAGTCCCACCACTGTTCACCAGACACTTTAAGAAAAGGTTGTTCTGCTTAAGCTATGCAAAGGACAAATTACTCTAAATGGCTGAGATTCCAAAAGTGACATACCATTAATGGAGGTAATTGAACAAAACCCACTACCACTCCCAGAGATTAAAGAAAACAAGTATTAGCTGTTTTACCAGTGTCTGAATAAGGACTACACTAATCATTATTATCATAGGAACAAGGTGTGGGTACACCTCCAAGATGACTATGGTTACAAAAGGGCCCTAAAGATACTTCCAACTCTCCCAACTATGAGAATAGAGGAAAACTTGCATCATGTTCAGAATGCCCAAGAGACTAATACCAGCAAGGAAGGCTGAAGTTTTGTTCAGATGTAATAATTTATACTTTAAGAGTACAGATAGATGAACCATTCTGAAATAAAGAAAGTGTTTACTAGCACCTCACAACATGGAACCCAGTAACCTGTAACCAAGATGTGAAATCTTTCTAGTATCTGTAGCTTTACTGTAGAAGAAATAAAAATACATCTTCACTATCTTCTGGATAATCAATGTTGGTGTCATTAACCACTTTAATGTCTGTCCTGCATTTGGTAACCACATACACCTGGAGAAATGGCAGTTTTATTTGTCTCCTATCTGTCCTATTACCGTGGATGTGATCCTGTGAGTCTTGTTTTTGTTTTTAACTATGGAAGTAGAATAATGTTCATGTTACTTGTATCTTGGTGACTACAACAGCCTACCAGTGAATTTGAGTTCACATTGTGCTTTACTTTCAATCAGCTTAAGTTCTGTCAACTATTTCAGTTGTAAAATCAACATCTATTGTCTTCATTTTTTATTGTGCAACTGTTCAATAGCTATTTAATTTTATTATACATTCTTTGATCATTCTTCACCAGCTTACACATCTCAGGTGTCTGCATCTACCTTGCTATAAGTTCCTTTAGTTATCATGAGAATCTAGCTACATGCTGGTTATCTAATATAATAAAGATTACCAAACCACAATAAATATTTTACATCTCTGACACATAGTTCTTGTGTTTTTCTGTTTTCTGTGCTTGGTATGTCTAACATACACACACAAACAGATCCATATACACTGATATTTTATTAATAACTTTAGGAATTAAACTACAGAGAAAACTGAACTTGATCTAACTTGTAACTTGCATATATTTGAAAAATAGTAAGTGCTAGCCTAATTGGTTCATAACTTGCCTACCATCATAGTGAGCCAATGTGATTCTCTACAGGCCTATCCTATAACTCACAAATTGTGTAAATGTACGATTTGTCAAACTTATACATTATCAACATTTCAATGAAATTATATCTGAACATAAAGACTATGACAGGTACTGCTATTAAAATGTATTTTCTTACCTTAGGTAGCAAAATGCATTCCTTGATCAGTTCAGAACTATAGTTTACAGCTATACCAACTTTTTATTAGCATAGTTATGTTAATGATTATAGCTGCCAACAATGGAGGACTACATAGCTAAGTGGGCTTAGGGAATTTGTTCTCCTAAATAATCACACACACACACACACACTATGAAAATGTATTCCTCCCTTCTTTATTAGTTCCAGTTAAATCTAACAATCAGGTTTTCTTCATTTAGTGTGAGTTGTAATATGAGAACATATTTGTTCTTATCAAATAAAAAAATCTTTAGAAGCTAAAAACTACAGTTTGTGCAACATCAGGTTTAATCAGACCTGTTAGTTGATTAATAAATTATTCTAAACCATAGGACTTTATATGCTTTTAGGTGTGAAAGTGGCTTTGTTGTAATGTTTTACAACACACCTATATATTCTTTCACTACATAAGAACTAGGACAGTGGTGGAGAATGTTATCCAATAAAACAATATTTGCCTTTAAGTGTCAGAATGAATTTTGTTTAAATACAGACTTTTATATTCATTCATTCATTGTGAAAGTTTTATTATGCAGGAATAATAACTTGGTTGTAATGAAAATAACTTCAGGAAAAACATGGTGCAAGAAAGGATGTTATTTTACAAACAGTATCATTACCATATCAAATAACAAGTTCTACTTTTTACAATAAGCTCACTAGAAGTAATTATGATATCCTGATTTACTAATGATAATTGTAATAATGGCCACGTTACTTTTCATGACATTTTTTTTTCCTTTTTTTAAAAACAACTATGTACATATCATGCTAAACTTGCAAAGAAATTATTTTTTATTACAGTCTCAGCATAACAAGCCTAACTATACAATAACAAGAAACTTTAGTTAAATTTGTCTTTTTGTGAGTTCTAAGTTTTGAACTTTTACTGCAAACGCCCATGAGAAAATTAATTAAGCTGTTTCAATAAATGAACATTTACTTTGTAAAGAATATAAAATATGACAGTTCTAATGTGGTAAGTGAATCAAAGATCTGGTCCCATCAGCAGTTTTTATGAAGTTCGTGATGCTGATCTTCTAAAGGTAATGTAAAACACCCTATAATATGAGGGGCTCCCTGATCTCCAACAACTTTGGTTTCTAAATAACTTACAGGAAGGGTAGAGTTTGTTTTCTGTGATGCATCTGATAAAGTATTCACTGGAGACTCCTGAGCCTGAATGTTACTTTCTGAAGAGGAAGGATACGTTACCACAGGCTGAAGTGTTAGATTCGAGGAAATCTGTACAGGATAAAGTGACAGCTGTGAATAACCAGTTGATGCACTGACACCAAAGTCCCCAGTTGTAATAATTTCAATATGAGCAGTTGGAATGTCATCACCATCATCTGTGTTGGGTAATTCTTCAGCATCTTGTGCTGATGACTGATTTTCCATCAGAGATTTACTAGTCCTTTCCTGCCTTCTAGTTTCTATAGAACTTGCACTTTTGTCCAAAGATCCTCTTCTTCTACGATTTGATCGTAATCTTCTATAATTTGCTTGTTTTGAAAGTTTTTGGTTCTTACCTTTTGATGCTGGCTGTCCTGGACATTTGTGACTTTGAAGTTCAGTTTCTTGAGCAAAACCTTTCTCACACTGATTACAGAAATATGGAGATGCCTGTCCTTCTTGATGAAGACGTTCATGATCTATGAGGGTTGCCTTCCGTCGAAATCCACGTTCACAGACTTTACATGTGTATGGTTTAATTCCACTGTGAGTTAAAATATGAGCTTTTAATTTATCAGGCCTATTAAACTCTCGTGGACAACCTGCAACCATGCGAAATGGGCATTTATATTTTTTTACAGCTTCATGAATAAGTTTGTGTCTCTTGAGTCTATCCTTTCTGTTAAATGACGCTCCACAATGACATTGAAAAGGCTTTTCTCCAGTATGGATAAGAGAATGGACCCTGAGATAATACTCCGTTTTGAATCCCTTGTTACACACTGAACACACATGCATGTCATTACTACTATGAGTAAGCAGATGTCGTCTTAGGTACCGCTCACAAGGGAAGACCTTGTTACAGTAATGGCAGCTATATTTGTGAGAAGAAGTTGCCATGTGATGTTCTAAAGCTGCAGGAGTGGCATATTTGTTCAAACACAATGTGCAGCGGAAATACCTGAATAAAGATCCATTAATCAAAAATGTGTCACTTTCTTTAAATGAACACAGAACCTCACATTCTGGCAACATAATCTTTTGAGTTACCCTTCTATAGATTTAACCATTGATATAGCCTAATACAGATTTTTTTTCTAACAAAGCTCTACAGTATTTCATTATCTTTTTAAAGAGTAAATTATTAATTATAGTTGACTTGCATGAGAGGGAAATATAAAACTTATTGTGAAATGGCTAAGACTAATATCTATGAGAACATCTAAATCTTTGTATGTACTAGTTAACAATTATTAATTATCCAAATTTTCCAAAAAGAAATATTTAATAAGCAATGCTCTTGGGTCATTCTGAGTTAGCTAAGGCTTTAACTAGATGTGCATTGATTAACTGACTACATTTCACCTTAAACTATTTAATTAATCCTATCTGTGACTCAAAACACCTCAGAAAGGATGGTTGGAGCATTAGAAAAAATTTTGAGTTGGGAAAAAGTGAAATCACAACATACCGAGATGTAACACGAGGTCCTTGGTTTGGATACAGGCTATGGGAATACTGATGTACTCCAAGATCATACAGTGATTGAAAATGTTTGTTGCATAAGTGGCATCGATATGTCAGTTCATTTTCATGCATTCGTGTGTGTTCAACAAAAGCTTCCAAGTCTTGAAATGTCATGTTGCATGATTTTAATATACATTTGTACACCTATAAGACATCAGAAACATTGGTGTGAACAAAAAATAACAGGAATGATAATTTTGACAACATGAAAGAACAGTATAAAATATGTGAATATGTTTACTAAGATATAAGAGAAAGCAAACTATAACATTTCACTATTTTTCATTTGTTATATCATTTTGTATATACAAACTAAACTTAAAAACAATATTTATGAGATTACATAAAAATTGCTATTTTGAGTCATTTGTAAACAATATTACTATTTCAAATCATAATAAAAATCCTCTTGAGTGAACTGTAATTAGTCTCAATGTTTCATATTTTAAGTTCATTCTCATATTTCAGGTGCTTTGGTACACAAAAATCCCTTTCCTTATAAATGAAACTATCAAGTTCAGATTTACTTCATTTCTCTATCAAAGTAATTAATTGAATGTTGGCCTTCAGTTACCTCAATTTTAATCTGGACATTTTCAAAGAATGAATATTTACAAATGTGGAGAGACTGTTTACTAAATTGTTAATAAGTTTTTGAAGAATTGCTTAATTTACTGAGGAAAAAATAACCTTGCCATTTCAGAAATGAACATAAAGTAAGCAAAGCTACAGTTACACTAATAGTTTCAATATATACAACTGAAATTTGACCCACGTAAAAAGCATGGCTCAAACCAAAACATAGTAGTTTACAGACTTCAATAACAATCTATATTTACAAGATGTATTAATTTTAAATAACTAATCAATATTAATTTCCCTATATTTAAGAGCAAGAATTTCATACCTTTAACAAGCATCTCTGATAAAAAAAAAAAGAAAACTTTCTTAACATTTAGTCAATTTGGAAGAGATATCAAAAAGTTGTTGAATCTGCAGAAACCACTGATGATGAGTTTAATATTTTTTCATTTATTTAAAAAATACACACTTTTAATATATCATTTCAACTTTTGTTGAAAGAAACTTTAAGTAGCTCTTATACAGAGAGCATTAGTCACCTGTTGATACCATTGAGGTGTCACCATTTTTATTTTGTGAGCCACATTTTCATATATAAGTACAATTTAGATAACACAAAATTAAACTTGAAGTTTTGGGATACATCATAACTGTGCTGTTGTCAATATTAATTTATGTTAAAGCATTTTACTCAAATAATTCTTTTACTACGAACCTTTTCCTCCTTGTGCTGGGTCATATGACTTTTTAATTCGTAATATGTTTTACTACTAAAACTACAGTAGGAACAGACATATCTGTTGTCAATTGCTTGAGATTTCTCAGAATCACTTTTGTCAGTTTCTGCTCCATCCTTTCAATAAAGAAAAAAGCAATCCAGCAAGTATTTTATGTTTGAAAAAACAATTATATGAAAAGTTAAAATATTTTCAATTCCCATAAACTGAGCATAGTTCTTTTTCAAAATTAAAAATAATAATTATAATAAAATAATGATTAGTAACATTATAATTTCTTCTATTTAAGGTAAAAATTAAAACTACCTTTTTGTAAGGTTAATAAAATATATTTTTTTTCTAAATCAATAATCAAATACATCCTAAAAAAAAGTTGAACATTTTCATATATAAGTACATACTAATATTTGCATATACTGCATGTGTACATTCACATTTTAAAAGTATTGCAGCTTAATTGTTTAATATTTAGATTGACTGAACTTACCTCAAAAGCTATCTTTACACACAGCTTCTGATTTACAATAGGTACAAAATTATTAATGCTTAGAAGAATAACAGGCCTAAAATTTTTGATAATAATCACACAAACTATGAAAGTTGTTTTATCCACATTCGTCTTAGTTTGTCAATTTTGGATTAAAAATCAGAGGTATATGTAAAAAAATAGTATTTAAAAATTTTTTTTCTCAAATGGTATACATAAAATTTCTGATAAAAATCAAGTAAGCTGCATAAGATTTCTTTTTTTTTCACATTTCTCTTAATTTGTCTACTGTGGATTAAAAATCGGTGTATAAAACCAGCATTTCAATCTATCTTTTGTCTACCCAAAAGTCATTGCCCAAAAGGCTAGAATCTTACATTGGTTGGATAATGAGAAAAAAAAGATTCTATAAAAAACTATTTAATATTTTAAACCTTATAGTCTAAACTCTCAAAGGTGGTGAAGCATAGGAAACCATCAGGCATAATATTTGTGATAAAAATCATGTAAACTGCATACATCTTATAAATAAATATATATATATATATATATATATATAAAACAGGTTACAGGAAGTTAGGCTTAGCTTTATCTATAAATCTCAAATTGCTGCTGAATATCTTGAATAAAATCAAGGTAGCTTCTCTGTGACCAATTTAAGAATACTTCAAAAGTGTCTAACAAATCAATCAAGTGTTCTGGTTAAAGACAGTCAAATTGAAAAGTTGAGGTTTAAAAATAATGTGTAAATGACAAATTATCTATTCTTGAAAGAAATACTTACACTTTTTGTATCAATCTCAATATTTGAAGAACTGTTCTCCCCTAGTGGCTGTTGAGGCAATGTGTGAGCAAGGCCATCAGGCCACACCTTAAAAAAATTGCAAAAAATAATATAACAAACTGTCTTATATTCACAACTCACCCAATCAGTTAAAAGTTTCCTGAAAAAAATTTCTTACTAACAGATAGATTGAAGCGATAAGAAATTCAAGGGATGCATCACAATCAAAATTTGAGTCAATGTAATAAACAAACCCATTAACCAAGTAACATAAGAATGAAAAAGAAATCAGATACTCAATAAAATACATGCAAGTTATTTTTTTAACTATTAGAATATTATGCAACTCTTTCTATCTGAGGTATTTAAATCTAAAGTACTGATTCTAAAGAACAAATGGTCAAGAAAAGAAGATATTTAATATTCAAGAGTTATCAATCTAAAAGAATTTCATTATTTTCAAATATAAATAAAATGTGCTTATTTGTAATTAAAAAAGTAAACAAAATTCTTTGCAAATTAATTTACCTTCTTTTAAAATTACTTTCAATAAAAAACCTTTACATAGCTAGTAAAACAAACAGAAACGTGGGACTGCATTATTTATGTTGTTCTAGAAATAAGAAAAGTAACTGTTGTTTAAACAAACTTTTATACATTATTACTTCAAAAATATATTTTTACCTTGTGTGTCTGCATGTGTTTTTTCACATTAGACTTCTGAGCAAAAGCTCTACCACATACAATACACTGGAAAGGCTTAACACCTGTATGACATCGAATGTGCTGTTGCATGTCAAAATTTTTGGTAAACTCTTTTGAACAATAAGGACATCTTAATTTTCTTGACTGAAAGAGACAAAATCAGAAATGTAAAAATGCTACTGTGCAGGCATAAGACCAAATGACATCATAATACATTAAGATGTTTAACATTTTTCAAACTTAAAATAACCTGAAATATTTGCTTTAGGGTAATATGAACCACTGTTGGTAATAGTTATAAAATATTTTGAGTCATTTAGCATTGTTTTTACCTGCACATTATCAAGTCAAGAAGAAAAAAGTATTTATTTTTAATTTAAATTTAGAATACATAACAAAGTAGCATATATCAGATGAGCATAGCAAATTTCAGAAATGAAAGTAGTATTATACTAAGCATAATAGCTATGATGAAGACATTTTATTACAACTTACATTAGAAATATTTCCAAATACTTGAATTACCTGTTTATTCCCTGATTCTGAATTTGAGCAATTGACACCTCCTCCTCTTTTTCGAGAACGAACAACAGAACCCTTTAAATCTGGAACAATATGCACCGGTCCACTAGTCCTCTGTCCTAATTCATCTTTTTCCTGGCCATCTTTCTGCAAGCAACTACTTGTTACATCTGTTACTTCTGTTAAAAGTGATGTAGTATTTGGAGCAATTTTTCTGGGAGAGAATGTATGCTTTGAATCTCCAGATGTTCCTATGTTTAATGATTTATCAGCTTGTATATTTCCCATAATCATATTTGGTGAGTATGCGGTATATGTGGAATTGGACTGACTTGTTACAATCAATCGAGTTGGTACTAGTGTATTAGTTAGCAATGATAATCCTACTGCTTGTCCCTGTGTCTGAACTGTTCCATTATCCTGCTGAATTTGAGTCTCTGAACTAACAACATGATGGTCATACATAACATTCCTGGCCGAAGAAACAAATTGGGACAAGAAAGAATTCTGTGTTGAAGTGTTAGTAGCTGTTAGTGTTGTAGAAGCTGTACCAACTCCTTGTTCTATGGCTGAGGTAAAAGACAGTAAATCTGCTTCATTCAAGACAACTCCAGATGTGATAGCTGCCAGGCCTGGAGATCCTGGGATCTAAGAGTATAAAACCTTATATATAGAACTAAATCAGTATATTGATATTGAAAAGTTCTTGTAATTCAAATAAACATCATCTCAATCAAAGACAAAACAAAATATATAACTGCTGCAAAGATTATTAAAAAAATATTTTCTTCCTATGTTTAAAATCACTATAAAAACAAACCTGCATTTGGTTTAGTTGGCGACTTAAGCTTCCTGGTGTTTGTGCTGATTGAGAAGACAGGAATTTTGGGATACGATTGTTGTG